TGAGAGAAAGGCTTAGAAGTCAGCAGCTGTTTCACATGACTTAAATGTCAAAAGGAACGGGGTGAAGTGTGTTTTACTATAATCCTTGGTTCATATGCCTTGACTAGAATTCTTGGAGCATGAAAAGAAGCCTACATGGCACAGTGGTGTGTGCCCCGTTTCAGATCTCTCCAGCATCTAGATTGGTAGCTGGCATGAAGTAGGCACTCAGTAAAACTAATCAGTTGAGTGGTTGAAGGATCCCCATGTTTTAAATAAGGTTCCCCAGTGGTACAACAGTTAAGCATCCGGCTGCTGACCAAGAGTTTGGCAGTTCAAACTCCCCAGCAGCCCCTTGAGAGAAAGGCCTAATAATCTGTTCCCTTAAAGATTAAAAACCAAATGAAACTTCTCATCATCAAGTCAGTCATGGCTTATGGTGAAGCTGTAGAACATAGGCTTTGCAAGGATGTAAGTCTTCCTGGATGCAGACACTTTCTCTTGCAGAGTGATTGGTGGATTTAAACAATTGTCCTTTAGCTAACAACTAACTGTTTTAATTGCTGTGTTACCATGGATCCTTCCAGATTTTACGCACTGGCATTGAGTCAGTTCTGACACAAAACTGCCCGGGACCCAGTTTCCAAGACTACATCTTTACGAGAGGAGAAGGTTTCATCTTTCTCCTACGGAGCAGCTGATGGATTAAAACTGCTGAACTTTCAGTTAATGGCTCAGCAGATAATGCCACACTGCACCACGAGGTCTCCTTCCTTCAAGATTACAATCTAGAGAACTCTGGGGCTAGTTCTGCTCTGATGGACTTGGGACCTGTATTGGAAAATGTCTGGTTTTCCATGGTATGGAGAGGATTTCTCAGAAGACTTAGACTGGAAGTGGGAGGCATAGCAAAATAATCCTTTAAAACCAGAATCTATAATCTCAGGTTTGAATATGACAAGAGGTGAAAATATACTGTTAACTCCCCCTGTGTTTTAAGTAAAAATGTTTAAAATGTAGTGCCACCTGTATTCGAAGGCACCAAACATGGTTAAATTGGAGATTCTTGCCTGGCTGATTACAGGACTTTCAGTTGGGGCATCAGAAGCTGTACTTCAAACAAGCACTGCTGTCATTCCAGGAAGTGCTGAAGTGAGATGCACCATTGTGTCCCTGGGCTGATTCTGAATAACTCGGGTCATACTTTCGTTGTCCTCAGCCACATGAAAGGGAGTCCAGTGATGAAGTGGTTAAAGCTCTAGGCTGCTAACCAAAAGGTTGGTGGTTTGAACCTCCTTTCAGCTGCCCTGCAGAAGAAAGAGGGGCCAGTCTGTCTACTTCTGTGAAGATATACAACCGTGGAAAGTCTTTTAATTCCGCTTTGTCCTGTAGGTTCATTATAAGTTGAAATGGAATGAAACATCGTTTGGGGTTTCAGTCGTCTGAAATCTTTATTGATCAACAGAATCCTGTCCCAGAGAGTTCCATGTATTAGTCAGTTACCTGGTCTGAACCATTTAATCCTCGTGGCAGTCCTGGACTGTTATGATTTCTTTCCTGTGGTATAGAAGCTTTACCAAAATTAAATAGCTAGAAAGCAATGGAATGTGGGTTCAGATTTCAAGAGTGTCTGCCATCTCTACCATACTACACCTCTCTGCTATCCACAGTGTTTTGCTACTTCTGTGAGTCTTACTCCTTGATGAGAAAGGAGTGGCAAAGCGGGGAATGATTTGTAAAGCTGGGGATACATTCTTTACTAGAGAAATCTCTACCTAGGAAAGCTTTGAATAGTTACCAGTGAAACATTAATGCTGAGATCAGTGGCATTACATAACCCAGGGTACAACACAATTTTTCATTCTTCTCTTACATTGTGTATGTGTGTGCAAAGGTTTCTCGGTTTGCAGGGTTGAAATCCACATGAGTGTGTTTAGTCAGCTACAGTGCCACCTGATGTTGATACCTGCATTTGAATTGTTTGTTACGGTGCCTTTTCTGATGATCTCCACAGAGTAAGCCACAGTCTGTTCTGTCACTTTAGAGGACACTGGTTTTTACAGGTGCACACTTTGTTTCACTGCCAACTCCAATTTCTCTTCAAGACAAATTACTATGACAAAGGGAAGCAGTCATCTGGCCCACAAAGCTTAGAAACAAAAAAAAAGAAAACAGCCTAGCCGAGAAGAAGAGACAGCGGGCCGCTGTGGAGCGAGTGTTCTGTAGTCCCAGAGTGCTGTTTGCAAGGCTACATTTTCTCCCAGCTCTGCCTTTTGCCTGGAGGTCGTATAACTTCTGTGCAGCTTAAGTAGGATCTTGGACTGTTTTTATCTAATGTGAAATTACATCACTTTTCTGCTCAGTGCCTTCCAGTAGCTCACAGTTCCTTCTTTTGAAAACCCCCATCCCAAAACTGCTAAAGACTGGTTTCCTCCTAGGAGGCATCTTTGTAGTCTCTACTCCCCTTCCCCTCAGAGTGCTTCATTATCTACTTCGTGCCCTATTCAAATGTCACGTCCCAGGGAGCCCGTTTCTGAACCCTACCAACACTCCTTCTGAAGTAAACATTCTCCATTTCTTTCCCTACTTTCTTTTCTCCATAGCACTGAATCATCAGCTCACATACTGTACGCTTATGTTGTTGTTTCTCTCTGAAGCTTATCAGAATACGCACCTCATGAGTGCAGTGGTTTGTTTCTACCGCTGTATCCCCAGTGTCTGAGCCAGGACCGGGCAAGGGCAAGATGCTTAGAACATGCTGGGTGGATGGGTGGGTCGAGTGGATGGTGTGTGGATTGATGGATGGAAAGGATGTAGTGACTCTGACCTCATGGTTTGGTGGCTGGAGTGTAGCAAGAGGAGAGATGTTGGCATTGCTTCGGCTCCTGGTGAGCAGGACTGATATTGCCAGCTAGATCTGGCTGTTTCGCAGGCCCTGTCTGGTCCCTAACCCACTGTTTGTTCTGCAGATGTTAGTATCGCTGTTGGGTGCCTTGGGCTCCAGCTCATAGCAATCCTACACAACAGAAAAACCCTCCCCAGTCCTGCAACGGGCTCACAGGCTGCACTGTGCTTTCACCCATTGTTGCCATTACTACATCGGTCCGTCTTGTTGAGGACCCTCCTCTCTTCCACTGACTGCCCACCTGTGCACACATGATATCCTTTTCTAGGGGCTAGCCCCTCCTGATAACATGCCCGAGTGTGGAGGACAAAGCCACATCGTCTTTACTTCTAAGGAGCACTCAGACTTCACTTCTCCCAAGGCGCATCTGTTCCTAGGGAGGCCGTGATGTATTCAGTGCTCTTCACCAATATCACAGCTTGAAAGCATTGTCATTTCTTTTTGGACCTTCCTTATGCATTGCCATTGTCTAGGAAACTTTGGTTCCTCCTCCCTTTTTTGTTTTAGGATTCTCCATTAGAACAGGTGAAAAGCCTCTCAGGACTTCATCCCTCTTATTTGTGTATTGCCCCTGATTTTTTTTAGAGAACAAAAAAAGCCAGTTCCTTTCAGATCCAGCACTAGGCTGCAAAGCCAGATGGAGGGAAACTATGAGTCAGAATAGACTAGAGAGCAGTGTGTTGGATTTTTTTGTTTTGCCTTTTACTTTAATAACTACTCCAGGTAGGATATAAATCTCCAGTTGCTCATCTCCTTAACACCTATGCCAGCAATAAGCACACAGGTAGTACTGATAAATATTTGCTGACTGATTAACTTTTTACTAAACATTATGCCATAAACGTTTTCCCTGTTGTAAATAAGAATTTGAAAAAACTGATTGGCTGCATTAACTTAATATTTCCTGTAATTTTTTTACCTTTTGCTAAATGTTTCTTTTTCTTACCATTTTTGTGTTTTAAAAGATACGATAGCAAACATTCAACTCATAAAAATTCTATATTCTTATTTGTTTTCCTGATTATTTTCCTAAGATCAAGTATTGAAGTAAAATCCCTGAGTAAACAAACATGTATGACCATGATTAAGGCTATTGATGTGAAACACTGATCTCTCTTGGAAAAGTTCGTGTTACCCGAATTACCCACCATTCCGAGAATACTGTGTTTCTCCAGCCACCTGGCCTGCCTTTCACTGCCATTCACACTTACTTTTCTCCACTGGGAAGTACAAAATTGGGTTTTATCTTTCATGCATTTTATGTCTTCTTAACATTGAATTGTTTTATTGGGTTTGTTCTACCAAACTCAAGCAAACTGGGTAGGAGGAATAAGCAGAATCAATAGCCGTAGCACTGCTAAGGAGTCCCGAAGGGGACACAATCCACTCTTAAGTCCTGGTTGATTCTCATAGTGGAAAGACCATTTTTAGAAATGAGGAGAAAATGTACATTCGGGATGGGGGATGTTGGGGAATTAAAATTAATCAAGTGAGGGAAAGTATCTTTCAAAAATTAAACTACTTGCAAGAAAAAAAGAAAATTAGTAACATCAAATGTTCTATGACAGGTTTGGAAGCAGGAGTGGCATCCACTTCCTAAACAGCTTGCCTCCGGAAACTCTATGAACTTTGATAAGTGTCGATAGTTGTAGAGGGGCTTCATGCCTTTTGTTCACAGGGTCACTAAGAGTCGTGCTCGACTCGAAGGCAATTAATAACAGTAACAATTACAATTTTGACAAATTCAGGTGCAGACACTTAGATTTAAAAATATTTAGGAGTAGGAGACAGAGAATAAAGTGATTTTTTACTGATGTACATTTAATAGCTCTGGTGGCCTAGTGGCAAGAAGCTGTGCTACAGTCCTGAAGGCACATGATTTGGAGGTCACCAATCGCTCTGTGGCGAAAGGATGGGCAGTCTCCTCCTGTGTGATTAACTACCTCTGAAAACCCGCCAGAGGGTCAGCTATGGGTTGGTTCCAACCCAATGGTAAACACCTGCGAAATTCATTTTTGGAGAAGATGATGTGTTCTGCTTTGATACATAAGCAAGATAATTTCATAACCTTGGTGTGAATAAAAATTCTAACTTATAATTTGATCCTCCCTGGCAGCTGGATCATGAATCTCATTGGAAGGTACCGCACAGTGTCAGGATCAGAAAAGAACACCCCTCGGTGGGAACAGGACTACCACCTGCAGCCAATGGGCAAATTGGGATTGTTTTATGAATATCTTGAAATGAGTAAGTAATTTGTAAAGTTTGAATAGTAGAAATATGGCAAGGCATGTTTTGAATCTTAAAAGCATCTGTTATTGAGGCAAATAATTATTTAGCTTATTGAAATAAGACAAATTTGTTTTTCTCTGCTAGATAAAATTACACAATCAGGCTTTCAAATAAGGTGGCTGTGTGTATCTCTGTCAATATTTATGTAGTACAGCAAAAGATTTATTACCAAGTAATGAAATGGAATATTCATTGAGGGATATCTTCACTATTAATTATCAAATAATCTTACTGTGTAGCCTGTGAATGAGCTCAGCAGCACTTGTGAGATATGATTCCACTTAAGACTGGAATCCATGCAGACACAGCTGTTGGTTCGTACAGTTATGAACCACATCTCTCAAGAAAGCTGGTGAGAAATGCTACTTTATGTCCACCTGACCCACCTCACTGCAGCCTTCAGCAGCGTGGCTGTTTTTCTGGTGGGTACTTTCAACCTGTTTCCTTCGATGACCTCCAGGCTAATCACTGGCTTAAATTCAGAAGCATTCTATTCATCTGGAACTAAAATTTGGCATAGTACCATCTTTCCTGAGTCTCTTTGCCCATTTGCATATTGCTTGCTTGAGTTCCATTTCTTTTCTTCAGTTGAACCTGATTTTGAACTCTCTGTTGCCTTTAAATGGATGCATCTCAAAATAGATTTTCATAGGAAACACCATCTTTTCTATTATGCATGACACACTTATATTTAATAGAAGGCTAACAATTTACATGTTTTGTATCTGCCCTTTCAGCTAACCATTGCATTGAATTACAATATTTTTAAGCTTAGGAGAATAGAAAAGAAGGCACACATTTTGGTTGACAGCCCTTGCATATATGTATGAAAGACTTCCACATTTGCAGAGACACCCCTTTGTAGGTCCTGTTTACAAGTCTGCAATAGAGGGCAGTTTTATTAAATCACATCCTATATAGAAAATAATTGCTTTTAAAAATATACATTATACATGGAAATACATCTGCAGCCTTCTGTAAGGGAAAGGTTCATCTTGGGCTTCCTCAGTCAACAATGCTTTATAGCAGCCTGGAGTCTGATTTAAATTTCCTTTTTGCTTTTGTTATATTTCCTGACCCGATTCTTTTAACAGTTTAGTTGTAGTACATAATGTTGAGCCACTTTGAGTCTGTTTATTTTCAGAAGGACTGGAAGAAATTACCTTCTAAAATGAGTCATAATTGCAAATGTCTTGTTGGAGTTATTATCAGTGTTAATAATATCTGCCATCCTATAACTGAATATCATTTGTTACTTTAGGAGAAAGATTTATTTTCTATAGCTGATAATTCAGGCAAATGGTAGTGAGAGAAAGAGTTATATATGATTATAAATGGCATTGAGAGAAAAAGTTATATATAATTTTATTTTAGGAAGAGAACTGATTTGGCTTTTAGAATTCCATAGTATTATTAAAATACTTGCTAACTAAATAATGTGGCTTCATCCTACCTTACAAAGAAAAAGATGGTTCAATAGCTATTATAGACAGAATTTTATATTTATGATATTATTTTCCTATTACCCCAGTATAGCTAATGACTTAGAAAAACTAATCAGTATTTGAGAAGAGGCAATCTGTTATTTTGTATTCAACATTGGGGGTAAATGATTTTTGCCTATTAAAGACAAATTTTCCAATTGCCTTTTGAAATAGTTCTATTCCTCTATAGATAACTATTGAGTGCTTTTGAAAACTGTCTCACCACCACATAGGCCCCTTCTTCCTGTTTTCCAATGTTCGCTAGTGATACTGCCATCTATCGACCTCTTCCTTTAAGCCTCCTAACTGACTGGAGGGAGTTCTGGTGGCCTAGTCAATAGGGAGTTGCAATGCTATCCCAAAGGCACTCTATCAGCAACTTCACAGGAGGAGAGATGGAACGTCTGCTCCTCTGCAGTTTGCATCCTCAATAGACCTGCTGAGCGTCAGCTATGTGTCTATTCTAATTTGATAGCAATGAGAGTTTGAGCTGCGTAGGGACAGTAATTTTGGCAAACCACCCCAAGATCCTGCACCCTAGCTTGCCATTGCTCCACAGCAGATGGAACTAAATCTCACCTCTGCCAGAAATGTCATCTTTCTTTTCTGTCCAGTAAATTCCTACCCACTGGTGCTCCTTACTTCTCACAGCTGCTCTTTTCTCTAAAACTTAATAGCACTGACACCTGCCTTGATTCTGGTACCTAACACATGTCATGCAATGAGTTGTCTGCCTGCCCAACTCCTCGGCTGGACTGACCTTGTTGAAAGGAACTACCAGGACTGTTCAGTCTTTCTACCCTTAGCTTCTAGCATCAGTGTCTGGAAGGGTATGCTCATAAATGTGTCTTTAAGTGACTTGACAGTGGAGTTTCAACACACAGCTGGTAGCTAGTTTCACAATAATAGCCCACCCACCCACTCCAAGTTCTGTAGGGCAGATGATTATTTCTTTTTAGGACATATTTTATTTAGTAAACTTCACAACATTCTTTGAGGTTATTGGAACAATTTTGGAGTGTTAACCGTGGTTGTCTCCCAGAGTGTTTGATCTTGACTTCTAAAAATTCAGACACAGAACAGAAGAGAAATAGTCTAGTAACCTTAAAATCCTTAAAATGCCATAGGACACCATGCTGTACTTGGTGTTCTATAAGGAAAAGATATAGCTATCCTAGTGGGAGAAGGATGGGCAATCTCCTCCCATTCCATTAACCTCCTCTGAAAACCCACCTGAGAATCAGGTGTGGGTTGGTTCCAACTCAGTGGTAAACAACAACATGAGTATACTGGTGCTTTCCCAGTGCCGGTTGCCATAGGTGAAATCTAGTAAAGGGATGGAGGGGCCTCCATTTGTCTGTGGGTCTGTCTCCTCCACTTTGCCATGGTAACTTGGATCTCCCTTGTACCATATCCAAGTTCATTTTTTAAATCCATTAAAACAGTAGTATTTTCTCCACTTCATTTACTGTAGTTAATATCAACTCTTCTTAAAAATTATCTTCTTTGGCTCCCCTTCTATCCTGTCCCAAGATCCCCTCTGTACTCTCTGTGGCACAGCCTTCCACCTTTTCTCCTCATCTCTCACCTGCATTGAAGTTCCCGGCCTTGACAAGATGGTGTATCAACATGGCAGCTAGGTATAGTTGGAGAGGATTGATAGGTCTGCCCCTTTATCCATTCATTCATTCAAGGAGGAATATTTTCCACTTGGCTTGTTCAAACATTGTCAGTTGCTGTGTAAACGCTGTGCCAAACACTGTGTAATTTGAGGACAAAATGGACTTGATTCCTGCCCTCACAAACTTAGTGAGATATGGACACTTGTTATGCACCATCTAGCAGACTCAGGTTCATTGAGCCCTTATGAACAACAGATCACTTGGTGGATTGTTGTTGATATGTGCGGCTGAGTCAGAATGAACTCGGACCTGATCCTCCAGCTGGTTTCCAGAGGTTGTAAATCACATGGGAGGAGATTGCCCATATTTTCTGGTGGATTTGAACCACACGCCTTTGGGTTTGCAGCATAACTCTTTACCACTAGAGCCCAGTGGAATGTTAAAAAGATTAGATTTCCTTTAAGAGGTGCTATTTGAACTGGATTTTGAAGGATGAATGGAATTTAAGCAGCTAAAGTGCAGCAAGAGGAAAGGATGTTTCATGTAGAAAGATGTGTGCACTTAAAATCAAAGATATGAAATAACTTAGCAAGTTAAAAACATAGCCCCTAAACAAAATATGACTAGAACAAAGCATCAGTAGATGGGAATGTCAGGGAAACAAAGTCCTTTCATGATGGCTGTCCTGTGTTTAATTAAGGGACTTGAACTTTATCTCTAAGGAGAGAACCATTGGACTATTTTAGGTAAGAGAATCTTTTTTGTGTTACTCTGGTAGTAAGACGAAAGATGTTTTGGACCGGGAATGTGTTCGTATGAGGTAGATTATTCAGGAAGTTACAGTAGGGAACCCAGGTAAGTGGCAAGCATCTACATAGAGATTATAGGTTAGGACTAGAGACAGATTCGTTAAGTGGCAAGTTCTGTGCCCAGTAGCCCTGGTGGTTCAGTGGTTAACCACTGAAAGGCATGCCATTTGAATGATTCCTGCAGCGCTGCTGGAGAAAGATCTTCTGGCCATCTGTCTCCATAAAGAGTACAGTCTAGAAAGTACTGTAGTGCTGTTCTCTGTCCCTTGGCGAGGGTTGGAGGGGGCAGTACTATGAAATTAAAAGCAACTCCATTGCATTTGACATTGGTTCCATGGCTGGTACAAATAGAACTGTGGAAGCTTGCTTGGAGGAGGGGCAGGGTGGACAGGGAAATAAATATGTGGGGTGGGTATAAAAAGAGGAATGATTCCAAGGCAGTGGTGTCCTGCTGGATATCCTGGGCGTGCAGTATCTGTGAGCCTTCCAGGAGAGTAGGACAGACAAAGCAGGAGTTCAACAGCCTCAGGGGGAAGCAGGGGAATGAGTGAATCGGTAAGGAGCATCCAGAGAGACGAGGCAGAGAACTGATGTTTTCCGAGGGAGGATTCATTTTCTAGTAGAGCATCTACCTGTACCTTTCCCCATTCAGTTATTGTGGTTCACTCAGTTTTATAAATTCAGACCTGTTCTGACATCATCTAGTTAGGAAAGAACCTATTCACAGTTTGCTTTTAAAAGGACTGGAGGAATCCACAGAAGAAGGAAGAAGAATAGCAGAGCAGTTAGTAGAAAACCTGGAGAGACCTGTGTCCACATGGGAAAAGGCTCTATGGCGTAAGAGAAGTTGGGATAGGTGTGTCAGAGACAATAAGATTGACACAGGACAGAGCAGGGATTAAGGCTGTTGTACATAGGGTCACTTTGAGTCACAGGCGACTCAGTGGCACAGAACAAGGATAATTTAAAGAAGTCAGAAAGAAAAGCAAAGACTAAATCCCAATCTTAACTGCTGCAATTGTGAGGGGAAGTAGAAGTGGCACTATGGTTATGGTTAAATAGTCTTTTCAAAAAATATTTGGCTTTTAAAAAATTGATTAAGTAAAAAATAAATGAATGGAAGGATATTCCAAGGAGAGAACATGCTTGGTTGTGTTAGCAGCTGCCTAGCGATGAGGTAAATGAGGATTGAAAAAACACTCATTGACTTTAGGATGACTTTGTCAGCTCACTGATAAAGTTAGCAAGAGCAGTTTCAGTGCTATAAACTGGTTGCCCGATAACGAGTCATTTCAGACCTTCTACTGTCAGAACTTTGCGTCAGAGGATATTCATTGGCTAAGTTTCCAGCAGCTTTTGTTTCTGCACAATAGTTTTTTTACTTATTAAATTGGACTCCAATTTTTGTTCATTTTTTTCTTAATTTTATTTATTTATTTTAAAAATATTTTTTATTCATTGTTACACATTTTCTCCCCAACCTCCAATGCACCCCTTGTTCCACATTGTTGTTAAGCATATAATACCTAATCATATATTCCTTTCGGACACTTCTTCCTCCTTATCTGTTCTACTGTAGTGTTTTGTTCTTGATTTCAAAAGTTGTTTAGAAAGTTGTCATTTGAATATCAGAACAGGTTATATCCTGTTTGTTTTTCCTGATGGCTTATTTTTTTATATAACATTTTTAGTTAACCTGGCATTTATTTTGATGGTAAGAGTAGTCTCTATGCTAACTTTTTCCAGTAATATACTAATTATACTAATACTTGAAACCCCTAATTTCAAGCATTGCTTTTATAATGTAATTCATATTATCCATATACTATTACTGAACTATTTCATTACTATAGCATTATTTAGCATTAGAATACGTTTTCTTATCTGTTAGATCTGCTTCCATTTTATTATCTTTATTTTTCAGAATGCCCCTGATACTGACAAGTAAACTTTCCTTCTCACTAATTTACCTGTTTACTTTTTTCTATTTCTTAAAGAATGTTAGAATAATTTTTCAAGTTATTTTTTTAAATCTGTTGGAGATTGTTCTTATTGTTGTTACGTGTCATCAAGTCACCTGTGACTCATAGGAACACTATGGACAGGAGCTCTGAACCCTGACCTAACCTGAGCCAATCTCATTGTCTCCAACACACTTACCCCTGTTACCCCAGTTACTGTGTTAATCTATCTCATCTGAGGCCTTCCTCTCTACTTTGTCCTTCTACTTGTCCAAGCATGATGTCCTTCAGGGACTGGTGCCTCCTGGAAACATGCCCAAAGTATGTGAGACAGAGCTTCAAAATCCTTACTGCCAAGGAGCAGCCTGGTTTCATCCTCTCTAGGGTGAATCTGTTCTCTTGGTAGCCTGTAGTATGTTCAGTACTCTTCTCTAGATTGCAACTCAAAGGAATCATTAATCTTCTGTCAACCCTTGTCATTGTCCAGCTGTGTGATGCAAAGCAGGTAAATGCAAAGACCATGGTGTGGATCATGTGCACCTTAGTCTCCAGACAGATATTGTTCTGTACCACTTTGGAGAGGTCCCTAACAGCAGCTTTCCCTAGAGCAATTCATCTTTTAATTAGATTTCTAAATTATGTTGTGGAGGGAAAATTTGATACATCCCTAAATTTGAATCTTCTCAATATATAATATAATATAATGAATATAATATAATATATAATACTATACTATACTATAATATATAATATAATAGAATTCATATAATACAATTAATATAATATATATCTCACTTATCATTTATACATTGTTTGGGTTCTCCTTCCCTTCATTTTTGTTTAGTCTCATAACCGACCTGTATTTCTTATTAATTTATTCCTAAATTGTATGTTCTTTTGTCGTAAATGTAGATGTCATCTTTTCTCCTTGGAATTTTTAACTAAGCACTTGTTAATATAATCCTCATTCTAGGTTTCTTGTTAACATGCAGTCTGGCTCCATTTCCCATCCATTTCCAAACAGCAACATGAGTACCCTCTCAAAAGGAAATGCACTTGCTAGTTTACAACAGGTGTCTCTGTACCCCTTTCATACATTTCTTTTACTTACCTGACCCCTGTTGATGGTAAATTTATTTAGAATTATATGTGTGTCAGAGACAAAGCCTTTGGTATCACTGTCTAGTGTGACTGCTATGGACTAAGGTGTCAATACCCCTGTCCTTGCTTTTCTGACTTCTCTGAAGAGAAGTCTTACCTGTGGGCCTTGTCTTACCAGTAGATGTGCCAGATCCTTCTAGCCCTGTCTGCTCTTTTGCAACAAGCATCAGCCTCTCAGACTAGGAGCAAATGCTGCTACCTCCTCATGACTAACCACGGCCTCCACAGTCCTGGTCAGTGTGGTCTTGCTCCTTGTTTGAACACTAACTCTACATGGCTGTATGTTTTCTTACTCAATCCCGATTTTTTGCCTATCTCTACTATCAATTGCCATTGAATTGACTGGGATTATGGAAATTCCGAGTGTGTCATTTTAAAACTCTGGTTTTTCAGAAAGAAAACTCCAGGCCTTTCTTTAGAAGCCTGTTTAACCAACCTTTTGATTAGCAGATGAGCATGAGAACTATTTACACTCCCCAAGGACTCTGTGTCCATACAGTTGTTGTTCTGTGTCATCAAGTTGACTAAAGCTCACCACGACCTCATGGACAGATCAGAATGCTGCTCTGTCTGTCCTGCATCATCCTCACAATCTCCCACTTTCTCAAGCCCATTACTACAGTCACCTTGGCAGCCCGTCCTGTTGAGCGTCATCTTCTCTTTCTCAGATCCTCTTCCTTTCCAGCATGGTGTCTTTTTCCAAGGACTGACCTTTCCTGACAAGATGTTCAATGTGAGACCAAATTTCAACACACTTTCTTTCCTCTAAGGAGCACCCTGGTTGCACTTCCAAGATAGATTTGCTTGTTCTTTTGGCAGCCCATGATATATTCAATACTCCTCTCCAGCATCACAATCCAAAGTTCCCTCTAAAGAACTTGACTAGTTAAAAGGGAAGAAACTAAAATATAAAGGTTTTCCTTTTGGATCTCTGGCCTATGGACTATGGCAACTTCAAGATAAAGTCTTAAAGGAACATTATATTTTGACTTGTTGAGACACTTTTATCACATATATTTCTATGATTTTTAATGATATAAATTTTCTGGATACACTCTTTTTTGCATTCACTGGTTCAGGGAAACTTTGCCTATTTTCAGCATTATTGTTGTTGTTATGTGCTGTCGAGTCGTTTGCGACTCATAGCGACCCTATGTACAATAGCCTTAAACCCTACTCTGTCCTGTGCCAATCGCGTTGCCTCTGACACACCCATCCCGATTATATTCTTTAAGCATAGCCTTCTCTAAGGTATATTTCTTACTTCTTTTTAACGTATTATATACTGCAGTGTTCATTTTCTTTTTCTGTCCTGAGTCACAAATCAATCTTTTAACATTCCATTGTTTTAATACTGAAAACAAATAATGTGCTTAGTTAAAGTATCCCAAGCTTGTTACTAACAAATAAATCAGAGTGATTAAACATGTTTAAGTATGTTGTTCCTATTAAGTGTATACATGTGAAAGAAGCAGGCTATGATTCGACTTCTTTCCAGATATTTCATATTTGTGTTTTGTTTGAATTCTCTCACTGTTCAACAGGAAGATGTTATTCACCACAGATATGTTTTCTCTTTGGGAATTAGTCCTCTGTTTGCCTTCTCTTTCTTTACAAAAGTAGAGAAAAAAATATCCTGTCTTCCATCCATCCATCACTCCATGATATATGTCCATTCCATTGACAGTTATTCAGTTTGGGTTCGTCACCTTATTTGTGGCCTCTTTTCCACTGGCACCTCTGTTGGCTTTGGTGAACAATATATTGGAAATAAGAGTGGATGCGTGGAAGCTGACTACCCAATATAGACGCATGGTGCCGCAAAAAGCCCAGGACATCGGTGCATGGCAGCCCATCATGCAAGGAATAGCAATTCTGGCTGTGGTGACCAATGTGAGTAGACCTCAGCTTCACGGGACCTTGAAAAGTATGAACTTGCATTAGAATGCTACTTGAGGAATCAGTGTTTGGTGTTTATTTTAAATGGGAAAAATGATGCCATAACTATAATCTGTATAAGCAGCATCATTGGTGTAACTGTAATTTTAATTCTTCTTTTTTTATTTGTAATTATTACTCTTTTGTAAAGTTGAGATTTCTCACACAATATGTTGCTAAAAAAGGGTGACCATTGTACTACTATTGCCTAGATGCTAATGTTTTTATTCACCTGAAACATATTATTATTTAATCATATTATCTTAATCATATTAATTATCTTTAATCATATTATCTTTTAATTCTCACTAACTATAAAAGGAACAATCCAATTGTATTTTCAAAAAGTAAGTACATGTCTATTCATTTACAATTTTAGAACCCTAAATTAAGAACTGTAATTCTCTCAGATCTATATTCCAATGACTTAAAACATCACCTGTTTGCTGACGAAGTAGAAACACCTTGTGCCTTTCCAGTCATGTGTTACCCACCTTGTGGCCAAGACAGTCACCCTTGTATTCTGATTTTGCAGTCACATCCTGGTCACTAGTACAGCAGTCTCATCTCTTGCTTGTATCCAGCTGGGAGGGGGTCAAAAACTCAGCTATTTACAGCCTACATCAATAATTAATCACACTTTGCTCAAAATAGTATCAATTTTTTATAGGCTAACAGAGGGCAGGAAAGTAATCCTCACACCAACCATTAGGGGGCATCACTCCCTAGATGTGTCATGAAAACCAGGGTCATCTCCTCCATATCTTCCACTTCATTTTCCCACTTATCTTACCTCACTTAAATGATTTTTCATTTGTAATTTCAGAATCAAGTGATACTTAGAAGTGTTCAGCCTTTTCCTATGAGCTTCTGAGGAGCAGTGCAGAACTAGGCATTGCTCATGGGTCGGGCTCCTCTGTGAGGGAATTGTTGAGCATCTGGGCTGTCAGAGAGGCCTGAGATTCATTTCCCATCCTCACAGCTTTCAGGCTGCATGATGTTGTCATTTGTAAAATTAATAATTCCCTAATATCTAGTCTGAGTCACAGATTATAAAATGAGAATTTACTACAAAGAGTAGTTGGAGAACACCACATTAAATGTACAACACCCAGTCCTAACAGAATATTAGCCACAGACCTAACTCTAAGAGATTCCAAGTTCAGTTCCAGACCACTGCAATACATTAAGTAGCAAAATAAAGTGAGCCACAAAATTTTTTTTTTGTTTCCCAGTACATATAAAAGTTTTGTTTATACGCTTTTAAGTATGTGATAGCACTATAAAAAAAGTCTTATGAGAATTACCCAAATGTGACACAGAGTTATACTTGCTGTTGGAGAAACCACAAAATCTATTGACTTGCTCAAGGCAGAGTTGCCACAAACCTTCAGTTTAAAGAAGGTTCTGTCTGCAAAGAGCAGTGAAGTGAAACGCAAGAACACAAAGTACATATGCCTGTGCTGTCAATTTATCGTCCCCACTACTCATCACCATCATTAATAGTGCATCTGTGGACTCAGGCAGGTGCCTATGACAAAGCCACAAGAATTTCAAGATGTGCTGCTGTCTGGACTGTGGTCACAGTCATATACAGTAAAACACGTTATCTGAGAACCAGGTGTTGCCCCACTCCCGAGGACCCTTAGTTCATTTGCATTGCATGCTGTCTTTATTTTTTTGGAGAAAGTTACACATCAAACACAAAAACCAACTTCTCAGATATGTCACCCATATAGATGCACCCTGAGAAATGAAGGCTGATGTTCAGAAATATGACAGTGAGGCCTTTCAAGTTCCAAAGACATAAAGGAATGAATCTGTCATGTTCAATATGCTCTCCTGCACTGAACAAGACAGGAATGTGGACTTTCAGGCTTTAGGAAAATTTTCAGCAACAAGATTTGAAACTAAAAGGCTTTTTATTTGACCTTCAGCTAACCAGAAAATCCAATTGACTCACAGTCCCATTCCTCAAGCATTCCAGTGTGATTGTATTAGGCATCTTTTCCCAGTATCCATGCCCTGGCTCCATTCCATTAGCACAGATGGAGTATTGGCTGTGCTTCCAAGGGTGCTCCGTATGTGCATATGTGTACATACACACACAGACACACACATGCTTGCTATTTGGTGCTACTGGTTCTTATCCAGTAGTGGTTGGTTTTTGGTTTTGGAGTTTTTTCTGCCCTTGTAACCTATAATATAATATATAATATGTAATATAATATATAATACCCTAAGAAAATGGCTTATTAGGGTTGTAGCATCAGTTAGATTATAAACAGTCCTTTTTTCCTATATTAGGGGTTTTTCTAACAGGTAATATGGATGTATACATGTACGTAAGAATCAAACATGTATTTATTATTCCCTCACATCCATACTATCAACCCCTCATATATCTAATGTGTGTTTCAGCAAACAAATGTGTCACAAAGTGGCGAAGTTTCTATAAGCGGAAACTTTTCACTAAAAACGAGAGAATAGCCACAAGGGATGAGAGCAGGCATTGAACAGGAGTTTGGTATAAAATCATTCATTTTAAAGCTGCTGGTTCAATAAATAAGCAGAGTTGACATCATTCTATCATGCCAGAGCATCTGCTATTGAAGGGCAATTTTAATTTATTTTGATATAAATGGAAAATTGTGCTCAGAACAGCATGGGAAACGCAGCACACGGTATTTATTTGTGCTCCTGCAGCCTGTCTCTCAAAGCAGCTCAATTTATGAGGAAGAAAGTATCTTGTCAGAAGACAATAGAATTACCTTCCTTGTGGGGAGTTTTTGTAGCTTCCTGAAGCACATCTGCAGGTGACGTGCTAAAAAAAGAGAGTGAGTTAAATAATAATAAAATTTAATCTATTAAAATCTGGGGGAAAAGAAAGATGCTCTTGTCCCACCATGATCCAGACACACACACACACACACACACACACACACACACACACACACACACACACATACACCCTCACAGTTTTTCTCATTTTAGAGGAAAAGACAACATTAGGCTCAGAGGGGAAGATTTTGCAATAGAAAGGCCCCTTAGTTCTTTTTCTTGCTTTGCCTGAGATCTTGTTTGTTGGTTTGTGGTCTCACTGTGTCTAAACCATATGTTCACATGAATGTTATTAAAAATCATGTTGAGCCAAAAACATGTCTACTCTTCTACGTCAGATAATGACTAAATGGTTTGGCTTTGCTTATTCACTTAGAAGTTGGTTCAGAGTCTTGTTCAGAGTCTTGCATACTTGTTCTTTCTTTCAAACCAACTTTCCACATTGTGGAGTTTAAAGCCCAAATTTAAAAATCTTAGGGAAACAATCATATAATTCATAGTAGATTATCCTAAAAATTGTCAGCTTGCTCAGACCCTGGTTTTAAACTGACTTCATGTTGTTGTTGTTGTTGTTGTTGTTGTGTGCCATTGAGTCACTTGCAACTCATAATGACCCAGTGTACAACAGCTCTAAACCCTGCTCTATCCTGAGCCAACCTCATTGTCTCTGACACACCTTCCACCATTAACCCAGTCACTGAGTCAATCCATCTCATCAAATTGACCCATATTTATTTTTTATATCTGCAAGCACATGAAACTCTATGTGATTTGGTAATTTATAGCTTCCAGGCAATAGTGAGATGATGAGGATGGCACAGGACAGGCCTGAGCAAGGTTGGTTCTTCACAAGGTGACTGTGAGTCATAATGGACTGGATGGCACCTAACAACAACATAAATGCATTCGTTTAGTGTCTTAGAAGTATGCAGGCTTAACTACTAAATATAGCTAGAGACATTTCCTGACTAAGTGAGTGGAAAATGCCACTACTGCTCTTGCTACTCACATTTTATTAAAATTAATAAAAATATAATATTCTCTGTAAAAGCAACAAGTATAAGTATATACAGAGAGCTTATGATAAGTCAAGTCATGGGTTTAAATAAAGCATAGCAGGGTTGTGAGGATGATGCCAGAGCAGACAAAAATTTGATCTGTTACAGATAAGGTCACACTGTGTGTCAACTCAGTGGCACCTAACAACAGCAACAATATAATGGGCTTAAAAGAAAATGGGAAAATAATAAGTTTGAAGACTTGTTTATTTAAGCCAACCAAAATATGTATTATACAATTTATATTTTATATTTACAAATTTTCATAATGACCTTTTCCTTACAATTCTAAAAGAGCTTCTAATTCTAAACCATCAAGGAAGAGTAAATTTCTATCAAGTAGACCTCTAAGGTTGACTGCATTTTCTTGTATTCTGAAAAACATTTAAATAATAATTTAAATAGAATCTGTACAGTAACTCCTGAGTTATCCACAATAACCTATTCCACAATCAATCTGGATATTTAGGTATTTATTATCTTTGGAGTCAGCCTGAGCAGCTATCAGGCCTTTGCTTTTGAATTACAGGTGGGCTTCCGGATGTTCCTTTAGCATTTAATACCAAAAAAGATAGAGCTATTGCACATTAAAACCACCACTGAAACACTTAATACTTTAGGATATTCATTAGCTATGTACATTTCAGAGTTAGCAAATAATTAAGGTTTCTTATTTAAAAATATCAACTTGATGGAAACAGTAATTCTGATATGTTTATTAACCTGCCTTTGTGGATTCTGAATTAATGCTCACTGTGTTATTTTCCACCACTTTGCCCCTCATTGTAGGCTATGATCATTGCTTTCACATCAGACATGATTCCCCGCCTAGTGTATTACTGGTCCTTCTCCGTCCCTCCCTACGGGGACCACGATCACTACACCATGGAGGGCTACATCAACAATAGTCTCTCGGTCTTCAACATCATGGACTTCAAAAACAGAACCCAGGAAAACCCATACCTTGGACTTGGCAGCCATACCACATGCAGGCAAGTTCCTCTTTGCTATCTTTAAAAATGCGCTTCATCTTTGGAAGGAATTATATTAGATTTACTGTTTGTTTGTTTTTTTTAATCAAATTGTTAGAAAGAGTTTTCCATTGTTTTTTCAAATTTCTTCAAATTGGAAGGGAACAAAGATACACAAGTTAATACATACTGGAGTGACCATGATCCATTGTCCATGTGTCAATGCCTATTCACAGTGGCGCTGTACCACAGAATAGAACTGCCCCATAGAGTTTTCACATCTTTACATCAGCGGACTGCCACATCTTTCTTCTGCTCAGCAGTAGATGAGTTCAGACAACTAGCCTTAGAGTTAGCAACAGAGTGCTTTAACCACTGTCAGAGAACTTTCAGCTCAAACCATAAAGCAAGATGAAGTGTGAGAGTTTCAGTTGGATTTAAGAAGACTTATCCAGGAGCAATGATTTTATAAATTACTACCTAACTTGAGAGGGACTGGAGAGCATTATGCTAAGTGAACTAACTCAGTCCCATAGGGACAAATACTGTATAAAACCATTATTGTAGAATGAGTATGAGGATCCAAGGTGGGGAGGGTAGAAGCTGAAGGGTGAGGATGGGTGGTGTGGAGGGGTTGTTAATAATTGGGTCGCCCAATTTGATGGGTTGGAGATGAAGGAAATGGGAAAGAGCCACTGTGAAAAACAATGTATTTGAACTTTGTAAAATAAATCATTGTGAATAAAAAAAAAATTTTTAAGGGGCAATAAAGAGGACTGATCCATGAGAAGCTTTATATTATATCTTATGATGGAAATCTCCATTAATTCCAGAAAGTAATTGTTATTGACTAATGTATTATCCTAATAGAACCTGAAGATCCTATGCTGTTAAATAGCACCCTCACTAAACAAATCTAAAAGCAACACATGTAAATAATAGTAATCTAAGAGAGCTCTGGTGGGCTAGTGGTTAGGAGCTACATTGTAGTCATGTAGGCATGCAGTTCAAATCCACCAGCTGGTCCATGGAGAAAGATGTCTTCTCCCATGCAATCAAATTGCCTCTGACAACCCACTGGAGTGTCAGCAATGAATCGATTCTGACTCAGTGGTACACATTAACAACAATATTTATAAGTATTAAGCCCCAAATTGTAATACTGAGAGATGCTGTAGGCAAAGTCTTGAATGATCCAGGAATCAATAAGAAGATCAAAAGAATACAAAGCCACTTTACCAAAAAGAATTGGTTGACACAGAAGAATTTCAATAAGTACCATATGAGCAAGAGCCGATGGTAATGAAGGAAGAAGTTCATCCTGCACTGAAGGCATTGGCAAAAAAATAAGTCCCTAGAAATCAGTGAAATATCGATGTATTTCAACTAAAGACACTGCCCCTGCATGCTGACCAGTCTATGCAGGAAATGTTGGGGACAGCTGGTTGGCCAACTGACTGGAAGCGATCCATATTTGTTCCCACTCTCAAGAAAGATGAACCAACAGAATGTGGAAATTATCAAGCAATGACATTAATATCACATGCAAGCAAAATGTTGCTAAAGATCAACCAAAATAAGTTACAACAGTACAGTCACAGGGAACTGCCAGAAGTTCAAGTTGGGTTGAGACAAGGCTGTAGCACCAGGGATATTATTGCTGATGTCAAATGGATTCATGCTGATAGTGGAGACTACCAGAAGAATATCCATTTGTGCTTTACTGACTATGCAAATACATTTGACTATGTAGATTATAAGAAATTATGGCTCTAACTGAAAATGATGGGAATACTAGAACACTTAATTATGCTCATACAAAACCTATATATAGATGAAGAAGCTAGAAGCTGTCATCCAAACAGAGCAAGGGAACAGTGTGTGGTTTAAAATGAAGAAAAGTGTGTGTTAGGGTTGTGTCCTTTCTTCATTCCTATTAATTCTGTATGCTGAGCAAATCATTTAAGAAGCTGGACTATGTGAAGCAGAATGTGGCACCAGGATCCGTAGAAAACTCACCAACAATCAACATTATGCAGATGACCTTGCTTGCTGAAGGTGAGGAGAACTTGAAACACTGCAGAAGATCAAAGACTACAGCCTTCAAAATGGATTACACCACAGCATAAAAAATCTTCATCACTGGACTGATAGCAACATCTGGATAGATGGAGAAAAGATTGAAATTTTCAATAATATCCTCTTAGTTGGTGCCCTAATCCACACCATTGGTACCAGAATATCAGGATATGTATTGCAATAGGCAAGTCCACCATCATTGACCTCTCCAAAGTACTGAGAAGCAATGATGCCAATTTGAAGAGTAAGGTGTACCTGATTCAGGCTATGGTCTTTTCAGTCCCTTGCTATGCCTCTGAAATATGGATAGTGAATAAAGATGACAGAAGAAGAATTAATGCCTTCAAATTGGGGTGTTGGAGCAGAGTACTGAATATCCCATGGGCTGCCAAAAGAATAAATAGATATGTCTTGGAAACATGCATGAGAACATTTTTTGGAAGCAAGGATAGCAGAACCTCTCCTCACATGCTTTGGGCATGTTGTTAGAAGAGGCTATTCCTTGGAAAGGGACAACATGCTTTGAAAGTTGGAGGGTCAGCAAAGGAGAAGACCCTCAATGAGATGGATTGACACAGTGACTGTAGCAGTGCGCTCAAATGTATTAGGGATGATGAGGAGGGTGCAAGTGAGGACAGGATTTATCTGCATTCTACTGTTCTCTACGGTACTCCAGAGCTTTCTGATAGGTTATATTATTATTGTTAGGTGCTGTGGAGTCAACTCTAATTCATAGCAACCTTATATTATACAACCCTGCTTGATCATTCTCCATCCTCACAATGCCCACTGGTTTGTTATTTAACAGATTCTTTGCTGTTGAGTTAGAACCAACTCAGAACTGACCTTGTATTATGTTTCTAAGGCTATAAATCACAAAGGAAAAGATTGCCCTTCCTTTGACCTCAGAGTTCCTGGTGAATCCAAACCACTAGAGGTGCCTAGACTTTGAATTAGCAGAGCAATTCCCTATGGACTAGGCCTTCAGAGCTCCTTTAAAATGCCTGATAAAATCAACTGTGAGGAAGCTCTGGTGGCCTAGTGGCAAGAAGCTGTCCTACAATCCCAAAGGCACACGGTTCGAATCCACTAGATGCGCTAGAGGAAAAGGAGGGGCAATCTCCACCTGTGCCAGTCGGATATGTTTGCTGGTCCACAACAAGAAAGAAAAAAAAAAATCAACTATGAACCTATTGATAAGTTTTTTCAATCATCGAGTTTTCATGCAAAAGAAGGCTTTAAAAATTCATTTTATCTGATTCCTTAACCCCTCAAAGCTGCTACTGCTTCAGAATTTCCAATAACAGGCAATGTAACTAAGTACCAGAAATAAACCAAAGTTACATACAGTACAGCCTCAGTGAATCTGCTTACTTTTACGTTATGCAGTGCCAGTGAGTAATTGAACCCTATGAAGTCAAATAGATTACAGGTAGAAGATTAGAGATGTACTACCTGAGGGAGGTGCACTGTTATAGCAGCAGTGGCATGTGACATCAGACAACAAGGAGATAGGCTAAAGATTCTAAAAAAGCAGAGAATTCTCTGGAAGGATTATGTGCATTGCACATGGTCCCATCCAGGTGAGTGAACCCAACCATGGTGATGCCTGTATTTAAGTAAATAATCTATTTTATATTCTTTATTTTGAGAATAGGCTACATTGTTGTAATTAATCCTCTTTAAGAAAGCATGGGTCAAGTTCTGCCAGAGAGAAACTGATAATACTTTTTTCCCCATAGACATGTATTCTTTTTTTTTTCCCCTCACAAAAATGGAATCTGCTGTCACCATCATATCATTGCATGTTAAATGAGGTATCACTGAAGTAGTTATTTCAAGGGTTTGTTTCCAAATTGAGTTCTCATAGAAAATGTATGTGATGTCACATTTGAAAGAGCATTACATTAAATGTCACGTCTTTTCAAAATGGGCCTTTGTTTACCATGTTTGATGGTAATAAATGACCTCTCAACTTGCTTTTGCTTTGTTTCTAGATACCGTGATTTTCGGTACCCACCTGGACACCCCCAAGAGTATAAACATAACATCTACTACTGGCATGTGATTGCAGCTAAGCTGGCTTTTATCATTGTCATGGAGGTAGGTAAAATGTACTTTAAGGTCATTTATAAGGCTGTATGTATATTTGCAGACCCATTTTTTGGTGGGAGAGAAAGTCAAATGGTTAAAATCTAGATTAATATCAGAATACAGCCAAAACAGCTCCTGATCTCAACCTCGAGCCTTGCAGCTTTAGGCCTGTGTTCCCAATGCTCAGTCGAGCCAATATTGGCTTCCCACACCCAGTTGTCCAACTGAATTCTCAATCCTGCTAATACTGGCTCTACCCACCCCTACCAAGGTCCCACTTCCTTCCCATCAGATCTCCAGTTTGGTCATAGGTGGTGCTGCTGTAGGTGTAGCTGGAGCAAAAAGGTCCCACATTGTCTTACTTTTCCTTCAATAGTGCTAAAAGATCTGTGTGCCTCTGGCTGCAGGCATGATCGATGTGGTGGCAAGATTAGCCAGTCCCCTTGTAGATTGTTGAGACCAGCCAATCCCCTTGAATGGTAGATAACCAATCCCCTTGTGTATAGAACAACACCCTCCATTCACATCTTCCTTCTCACCTACATAACAAAGTCAACAAACAGCTAGGATAAGTCATATTGAAGGATAAACTCCACACATCTTAAGGTGGTTAAGTTTCAACATAGTTGGGGGACCAAGACCAGGAACAGGATTCAATGAAGCAAGTTTAGTAGCATCTCTTCATGTAATTAAGTGCAGTTTTTGGAAACTGAAAATCAGTGTTAGCTGCCGATCATTTAGGTTGACCCATTATTAACTTTAAGGGACCCCCGATATAGTGTGTACAATACGGGGCTTCTAAATAAAAGGTCAGCAGTTCAAATCCTCCAGCTGCTCCATGGGAGAAAGCTAGCCAGTCTCTTCCCAGAAAGATTTACACCTCAGCATCCCAAAGGAAGGTGGTTAAGATTCAGAACCAACTTGGAAGAAGTGGGAGCTTTTCCGTTTGATTTGTGTTTTGGTTATTAACTGTTAAGTATTGATAATTCTGTACATAAAATGTATGATACTTTTTTCCCTTATCTTCTGGTATTTTTTTAAGACAGTAGTGTCTCTCCCTGATCGTTTTTTACACATATATTCATCAAGTTTCACCTGAAATATTCATAATGCTTTCATTAATTAAATGAAGTTGGTTATTTGCTATAAAAGTTAAAGCCATGTTGTGTGTTAGGGGGATTTGGTTTGGTATTAATAGAGGCCTTTTTTGATTTGGAGCATTGAACTGTATGAAGGGATTTATTCCACATGAAAATTATGTTATCTTTGCCCTTGAGGAAATTCTTTTGTTATAATAGTTTTATTCTTGTATTTTTAATTACATTTTCATAATGTACACCTTTTTAAATACTAGTTTATTTCAAAAATTTGAATACATTGTTTTTGAAAACAGATTCTTCAAATTTCCCTTACCTTTCACCTTCTTAAATTGCGTTTTTAAATTCCAAAAATTAGCTAACTCTGAAAATTGACTATTGTTGTGTGCCATCAAGTCGCCTGCGACTCTTAGTGACCCTATGTAAAACATCTCTAAACTTTGCTCTGTCCTTTGCTAATCTCTTTGTCTCTGGCACACCGACCCCCATTATCATAGTCACTGAATCAATCCATCTCATCAAGAGTCTTCCTCTCCTGCACTGTCCCTCCACCCGCCCAAGAATGCTGTCCCTTTCTAAGGACTGGTCCCTCCTGGCAACATGCCCAAAGTATGTCAGAAGAAGCTTCAGAATCCTTGCCTCTAAGGAGCAGCAGCCTGGCTTCAACCTGTCTAGGACAAACCTGTTCATTCTCTTAGCAGTCCAGGATATATTCAGTCAGTCGTCTTTTCCAACTCCACAGCTCATAGGCATTCATTCTCCTTCTTTCATCCCTAGTCATTGTCTAGCTCTCTGATGCATAACAAGTTGTTGCAAAGACCATGGCTTGTATCAAGCACACTGTAATCTCTAGAATGATATCATTGCTCTTCAGTACTCTGGAGAGGTCTCTGACAGCTGACTTCCCAGTGAAATTCATCTTTTCATTTCCTGGCTTTTGGTGACAAGAGTGTTGATTGTGGAGCAACCAAACTAAGCTGTTAACAATCTCAATCTCTTCACCATCCATCAGAATGCTGCCAGTCGGCCCAGTGTTGAGAGTCTTTGTTTTCTTGATATTGAGCTTTAGTCCATATTGAAGGCTGCAGTCCTTGACCCTCTGCAGCAAGTGCTTCAGGTTCTCCTCAGTTTCAGCAAGCAGGGTTGTGTCATCTGCATAATGCAGATTGTTGATGAGTCTACTTCCAGTCCTGATGCCACATACAGCCCAGCCTCTCGGATATGTTCTGCATATAGATTGAAAAAATATGGAGATAGGACACATCCCTGGCATACACCCTTCCCAATTTTGAACCATGCAGTATTAGTACTCTTTTGCTCTGTTCTGACAATGTCCTCCTGGTCCAAGTATAGGTTTTGTGTAAGCACAATCAAGTGTTCTGGGATTCCCGTTCTTTTCAGAGTTAACTACAATTTGTTGTGATCCACACAGTCAAATGCCTTTGCATAGTCAATGAAACACAGTAGACATTCCTCTGGTACTCCCTACTTTCAGCCAACATCCAAAAGGAATTGGTGGACACAGAAGAATTCCATGAAACAATGTATGAGCAAGAGTTGGTGGTTATGAAGGAAGAAATTCAAGCTGTTCTAAAAGAATTGGCAAAAAACAAGGCCCCAGGAATTAATGGTACACCAATTGATACATTTTGGCAAACAGATGCCGAAACACCCTAGATGTGCTTACCAAGTTGTGCCAAGAAATGTGGAGTACAACCACCTGGCCAACTGACTGGCGATCTATATTTGTTCCCATTCCAAAGAAAGGTGATCCCACAGAGTGTGGAAATTATTTAACAATATCATTAATATCACATGCAAGCAAGAATATGCTGAAGCTTATCCAAAAACTACTGGAACAGCACATCAACAGAGAATTGCCTGAAGTACAGGCTTGGTTTAGAAGAGGCTGTGGTACTACGGATATTGTAAAAATGTTAGATGGATCTTGGCTAAAAATTGACTAAGAGAGCTATAAATTTGGTATTGATCCAGCCAACTTCTTACCCAAAAGAATGATTACTGAAAAATTACACAGCCTTGAATTTGTTCAGTTGATGTGATCAGCTAGGGTTTTATTAAGTTGAAAGAGAACATCTATAGTGATTTAAACAAATAAGATTTGCTTCTTCTCATTTAAGAAAAGTTTATTATAAATCAATTGCTGCTCCTGAATTAACACCAGCTCATTGGTATAAGTGTTTCAAACCACTAATTTTCCAGGCTTTTCTCTCGAGTTTGTCACTTTACCCCAGCATTGTGGCTACAGCACATTCAGATAATATTTAAGGTTGGAAGAGGGAAAAGGACACAAACTTGCTCCTCATTTTGTGAGGATTTGGCCATAATAGAAAAAATTATAAGCCAAACATAACTTATTTCTATTGATGAAAAGTTATTTTTAAAAGATGAAAACTGAACCTAGCTATATATTTTAAAAACATAACAAATTACTACATCAGCTTTATCCCAGACATTCATAAATAACTAAAGATTGAAAATGTACCAATCTGTAAATATTACCTCAGATGTAAATGAAAAGAAAAACCAAAGAAAGCTCTCTGTCTTCATCCCTTGAAAATGTCCATGCTTCCTGTCCATAATTCCTCTTTTCTTAATTTTTCTCTCATCACTATTCCAATTATATCTTCACCTCTTCCACTTCACAGAAACCACTCTTGTCAGAGTAACTAGTCGTCATCCTGTTAGTAAAATCATGATCAATTCGCCATCCTCACACTAATTAGTGTGTCAGGATTGTATCTTATTCCCATACCTAATCCAACCTGTATGCTGAAAAAATAATTTAAGAAACGGTACTGTTCAAGAAGAATATGGCATCAAGGTTGTAAGAAAACTCATCAACAATCTGTATGCAGATCTTACACCACGTTGGATACAGAAAGTGGAGAGAACTTGAAACACTTTGTTTGAAGGATCAAAGATATGGATTACATTCCAATACCAAGAAAATAAAAATCCTCACTACTGTATTAGTCAGTGGGCAGCATTGTGATAGAAGAAGAGAAGATTGAAGTTGTCACAATTTAATTTTCCTTGGATGCATAATCAACACATAGGGTAATAGCAGTCAAGAAATCAGAAGACGTGTGGCATTGGGAAAATCTGCTGTCAAGGACTTTTCTAGAATGCTAAAGAACAAAAAAAGTCAATTTAAAGACTACGGTAAATGCACACCCATGTGCAGCTTTGTTCACAATAGCAAAGAGTTGGAAACAACCTAAGTGCCTTTCAACAGATGAGTGGATAGAGAAGGTCTCGTAAATTCACACAATGGAATACTATGCTGCATTGAAAAACAAGGGTGTGACCCTGGGGCACATTATGCTGAGTGAAATATCTCAGTCACAAAGGTGGGACTGACATTGGGGTTAGGGAGAATCTAAGAGGGGGTAAATAATGTGTCTGCATTGAAATAGATGAGGGAGAAAACGGTTTAGGAGGAATATATAATTAGGTATTATTGTTATAACAAAAGTCCAGAATGAAAGCTGCATAGTGGAGTGGATGGGCAGGCGGGAGGGACTGTATAACACTGAAAGAATTTTTTTTTTTACTTTTCAAAGAGAAAAGTGAACTGGGTGGGGTGGGGTGTGGTGGGCAGGGAGGAAAGTGTGCAACAATGAATGAATGGAAATCCAAAGTCACTGTAAATTTTCATTAAAATAAAAAAAAGAAAGATAAAAAATTTTTAAAAAGACTAAGTTGGACCTGATCCAAGCCAAGTGTTTTCAGTTATTTCCTATACCTCTGAAAGTTGTAAGGTGAATAACAATGACAGAAGAATTGATGTGAGGCGTGGTGCTGGAGAAGAGTACTGACTATCACGTGGATGGCAGCCAGGGTGCTCCGGAGAGGCAAGAATGGTGAAACATACTTCGGGCCTGTTGTCAGGAAGGGCTGGTTCTTGGAAAAGAACATCAGTCATGCTGGGAAAGGTGGAGTGCCAGAGAAAGAGAGTAAGACCTTCAGAAAAATGGATTGCCATGGTGCCTGAGGGTGCGGGTTCAAGCACATCACTGTGAAGATGGTACAGGATAGAGCCAGGTTCATCGGGTTTGTGGTTCATATAGGATCACTATGAGTTAAAGAGTGCTTGATGACACCTAAAAACTGTACTGCTTAGTGGGGAGTGGCATTTAAAGCAGTTCACCCCTCTTCCCTTGAAACTCTTCCCTGACTAGCCTCCTAGAACACGACTTGCTTGGCTTTCCACCTGCTGTGACAGCTGTTCACCTCATTGTCTTTGCTATGTCCTTCCTCCCATCTTTTTCCCCTTTGCTGATCCTTGGGGCTCTGAGAAAAGGAGCAAACAGCCAATGTGAGAGCATTACCAGTAACTTCGTTCTTAGGTTTAATTGTGTGTTGGTTGATACTTGTTATCTTTTGTAACTAGTATTTTATCTTTTTTGCAATGAATTCTGTCCCACATATCATATCCTTCAGTGCTGAGCAGAGATTCCATCTGTTGTGCATAGGGTCACTGTAAGACAAAATTAATTGGACAGCATTTCACAACAAAAGCAACAGCATAACAAATATTACTGTGTGCTGTTGACTAAATGCCAACTCATAAGAATCTCATAGGATAGAGTTGAACTGTCCCACAGGGTTTCCTCAGCACTGCTGTAATCCTGAAGGCACAGGGTTCAAATCCACCAGCTGCTCCATGGAAGAAAGATGGCAGTCTCCTCCTGTGTGATTAACTGCCTCCGAAAACCCAGCAGAGGATGACTTATAGATCAGTTCCAACTCTGTAGTACAAAAGAACAAGAAGTCTTTAGAGAAATAGATCATCATACCTTTTCTCTTGTAGAGTGTCTGGTGGATTTAAACCACCAATTTTGTGGTTATCAGCTGAGCACTTAACCATTTCCTCACTAGGACTTTGTACACATCAAGTAGTATTCTTTTAAAGTTATCAAAGAACAAAATGCAAATCTTAGGTGGAACCACATCATTCATTACCTTGTAGTATCAGACATTGTCTGTGTTCATGATTATCTATCCACAGACTTGTCCCAAATAATGACTAGCAGAAACCTGAATGACAGGAAGTGTGTTTTCCTTCACTTCTTTGTGACTGATTTTACTTCTTCTCTCCCGCAGCATGTCATCTACTCTGTGAAATTCTTCATTTCCTACGTAATCCCAGATGTATCGAAAACCACGAAGAGCAAGATCAAGAGAGAGAAATACCTAACCCAAAAGCTTCTTCATGAGAATCACATCAAAAAGAATTTGGGAGTGATAGTTGAGAAGCTAGTAGAAGGAGCAGCGAATCATTTACGACCAAAATCAGAATAAAAGCTTTATGTTCTGAGAAGCACTTTAAAGAATTTAGTTCTGTCAAAACCTATTATGAATCACTAATGAGAATGTTTAAGCTAAATCACTTTGGCAAATACGCGTCTTAACTATTGCCATTTCCATGTAGATGATTGTTCAGTTTCAGCGCGTGGTGCAGCCACTGGAAAATGTACAACTTAGATCAAGAAAAGCATAAAACTAATCACCCGGAAAACTTAAAATGTTACTTTTTTAATAGAAATTGGAATTTTAGGAACACAGAAAAGTCGGATGTTATGCTTAAAACCTTTACTTCTAAAGCAGAATGGATTTTTTTTCCCCTCTGAATTTGATTACTTTTTATTCCTCTCTGCTCTCAAGCACGTGGTTGCCTTTATTGTGAGGCAGTGTTCCGTTTCTTCACTTTGCCAGATCTGTTCCAGGGTTATCTTCCTCATACAGTACCATCATTAAAGATTAGACATGCCACTGCCTTAATAGCTTTTGTGTCATTAAAAATAGCTAAATCAGAATTGAGTTTGAATGCTGTTTAAGTGGCAAATAGACTCAAGAACTCACAATATTTAAGTGTATTTATCACACCCCTACAGAAAGGGGACCTCTCAGCTAACAGGAGGAAATCATTTCAGTCTTCATTTTGCTCTGTTGTTCCATCTCTGTGAAATACTGGTAATGGATTGGAATGAAGATAGCAAGGTTTTGAAGCATATTTGTGCTAATCAACAGTGACACCTTTTATCTTCCAGGAGCACTCCTAGAATGTTCTGTGCCTAATCAATGTTGACTGCTTTGCAGACCTCAAAGGAATAAGATGACAAATGTGGGGAAAGTTACAGATTCAAATAGAACTGTAACTCACACTGATCAGGATAATTAATTTACTGATTCTAACGATGTGTCATTTCTTGAAAAAAGAAAATTAAATCAAGTGATTGAAATTACAGATTTATCAGCATAATGGTCTGGCAGAGATAAACCCATCAATTCCCCATCAGTTGATACAGGATAAGCAATATTACAAATCACTGAGCAGCCTCGTGGCTCACTGCAAAACCAGCGTGACATGAGGACACCACACATGGCTGAAAGAACCACAAGTGCCCGAATTGTGACCCACACAGGTCATGTTCTGTGTGGGGAGTGCCTTTCTTCAGGGATTCTGCATGACTTGCCTTTATCTCCAAATGCCAAAGTGATCAGCATACCAAAGCATCAGCCGTAGTGAATGTGGCTTCCTTGTACCCTCCAGGATCCTATTCCCAGCTCAGTATATATGTAATTGTATGTTTGTATTAGAGGAGTGTTGGAGTGGGAGGACATAGAGATGGGTATATCTGGATTATTCCTAATCCAGAAGAGACTCTGGATGTGAGTCATGCTTCCAGCCTCCTTTAGAATCAAACAGGCCGTTAATAATAAAGGACAGTAATTTGGTCCTATACCCTAACATCATCTGGTGGTTACTTTTTATCGATCGCTGCACCACCAAGCCTATTTTGAGCTGATTTTTGTCCTATTTAGCAGCCTTTGGTGCTCTAACTGCCTGTTAAGTGCTAGAGACCCTCTGGTGAGCTCTGGAGAAGGTACGGGGCCTGCCCCTCTCATATTGGCTGGTGCCAGGTCAGTGCCAGGTATAGAAACGGAAGGTGACTTAGACAGGGTCCTTGTGTGTGGATCTCACCTCTGTGACAAAGGAAAATAAAACAAGTTTCCATGACGAGCTTCTAGAAGTGTGGTTCAATAGAGTAACTCCAGAGCACAATTCCAAATGCCTTCCATTGAAGTATCTACTTTTAAAAACAGTATTTCTGTTGGATTCATCCAACTAGTGTTCTGGACTTTCAGCTGTTTCGGTGGGTCAGGGACAGCATTTCATGAGCCTTCTTGCTAGTGATGTGGCCAGGGAGACCTCAGGACAAGTCCCCGGAGGTTTGCCCACACTGGGAGGGAGAGGCGAAGTTTGGCCCCGTGGAGAGAGGTTGGCTCCCATTGAGCTGGTTCCTGTTCTATAGCAGAGACCAGGCACCACTGTCCCTTTCTCCTGTCCCCACTCACCTGTGAGATGTTCCTGGAGGTGAGTGACACTTCTCACATATTACCTCTTCTCTTTTCTGACATGTATGACTATCTCCTAATGTTTGATTGGGCAGTTGCACATTTGTTTACGTCAGCATAGAAAAGTCTGTTTACCTGTCTCCTTGTATATAGAGTTTAAGAAGAAATGTGGATTCATGTTTTCATGATCCCGGCCAAGAAAATCACCTTTGTAGTTTAAAATGATGCTGCTGTGGACAGGTGAGGACAAAACCCTGCATCTGTTAATGCAGCAGAGGGGCTGTATGACATGGTAATTCCAGTGCTGATGTGTCAGTGATGAAGGAAAACAAGGATGGGCTCTGTCTGCAGGCAGCAGTGAGCAGAAACCCAGGGGAAACCGTTGGGTGGTTGTCCTTGACCACGAGGGCAGAACCTGGCCTGAAGCCTGCCCAGTGTTAACCACTAGAGAAATCTTAGTTCCACATTCTTTTGTAATGCCTGTGAGTTTTAATAAATGAAAGCATTAGACCCAAGCACTCAGGGGATTTTTCTCTAAATTTCCCTCTATATTTTAGCTGTGTCACTAGAAAGGGAAAGCTGTTGTTCTTGTTTTAAAAATAAACAAAACATCTTGTAAATCGTTTGTCACCGAATTCCTTTTTTATTGCATGTATTTCTTAAATTTCAGAAAACATTAATTCACAGTAGGGGGCAGAATGTGCTCTGTCATTGAACCCCTTCTTGTACTGTTTTCTCTTGTTCATTTTATATTTGAAAAGTTAAAATGCATGAGCAACTTAACTAAGAACCAAAATATCCATGATGCTTTTCATACACTGTGGCATAAGATGTAAAGTTTGTAATTAATGTTTGTTAAAGTTAATTTCTATGTATTTTAATATTCTTTTTGTAATTATGAGCATTATAATAAATTCATTTTTACAAACAATACAGTAGCCCACTCTATTTAAATTATTGTAAGGCAGCAATGTCAGTTTGAAGACTAAGGTGTGTCTGGTTCAAGCCATGGTCTTTTATAATTACTTCCTATGCATCTGAAAGTTGGACAAGTGACTGAGGGTGGCAAAAGAAGAATTGGTACCTTTGAGCTGTGGTGTTGGAGAAGAGTACTGAATATCCCACGGACAGCCAAAAGATCAAACAGGTATGTCTTAGAGAAGGTGCAGCCAGGATGCTCCTAAAAGGCAGGATGATAAGATGTAGTCTCACATACTCTGGGCATGCTGTTAGAAGGAGTCAGTTCATGGAAAAAGATATAGATATAATGTTTAGAAATCTGGAGGGTCTGTGAAAAGAGAGACCCTCAAAGAGATGGATTGACACGGTGTGTGGCAGTGGACTCAAGTACATGAGGGATGACGAGGATGGTGCAGAGTAGGGCAGGGTTCAAGGCTATTATTTTATAGACTCACCATGAGTCATGGTTGAGTTGACAGCATCTAACAGCAACAACAATGTTTTGTAAAGCACAGGGAAAAAAATATATATCTGATATTTAGGTAGAGACAGCTGCCATCTACTTGATCCTAACTATGTACAACAGAATGAAATGTTGCCTAGTCCTGAATCAGGCCTCACAGTCACCACCAAGTTCAAGTCCGTCATCACTGCTATGGTGACAATCTGTCTCCCTCACCAAACATAATGTCCCCTTTTCAACAATTGAACCTGCCAGATCACATGTTCATAGTCCATAAGGAGATACACAGTGACACAAAGGTTGTCCCTAGCTGGCAGTTCAAATCCATGAACAGCTTAGTGGGGAAATCTCCAAGGCAATTTATAGCCTCAGAAACCCAGTGGAGGTTCAACTATCAGTTGGTTCTGACACAAAGGTAGAGTGTGTGTGTGTGAGAGAGAGAGAAAAAGATAGGGCATATTCAAAGCAAGTAAGTGAAACGGTCTTTTGTGACCTATAATGTTTTCATTGGCTAATCTACTTTGGGGGAGTAGAATGCGAGACTTTCTTCCTACTCTTTTTTGGTCTGGGAGCTTTGTTGAATCTTAGGCAACCCTGCTGGTATTTGAACCACCAGTAGCACAGTCACCAGTACCACAGCAACATGCAAGCCACAATACTATGGCAAACCAGACAAGTAGGGGATCTGCTGTTTACTCACTCACTGCCATCAAGTCCAGGTCGGAACCAATTCATAGTTGACCATCCAGTTTTTGCAGGCTGATGTCAATCGAAAGATTAAGGTGCATCTGATCCAGGCCATGGTCTTTGCAATTATTTGCGGTACATCAGAGAGTTGGGCAATGACTAAGGATGACATAAGAAGAATTGGTACCTTTGAGTTGTGGTGCTGGAGAAGATTATTGAACATACCATGAATTGCCGGGGGAATAAATGAGTTTGTCTTGGAGAGGGTAAAACCGAGTTTTTCCTTGGAGGCAAGGATTTTGAAGCTCTGTCTCACATACTTTGGTAATGTGGCCAGGAAGGACCAATTCTTGGAGAAGAACATCACTCTTGGAAGGGTGGAGTGACAGAGCAGGAGAGGAAGACCCTGAATAAGATGGGATGGATTAGATGACACACTAATGGGGTTAGATGTGTTAGAGTCAGTGAGACTGGCTCAGGATAGGACTGGGTTCAGAGCTATTGTACATAGAGTTGCTATGAGTTGATGTCACTTAACAACAAATCACATGGAAGGAGAAGAAGATAGTCTGTCTTTCTCCTTGGGGGCAGCTGGTGGATTTGAACAACCAGAAAGTTGCCTCCATTGTGTTAGTAGTGCAACTCTTCACAGACTATACACCATCATTGCTATTTTTCATCAATCGCGTGTCACTTGTATAACAAATGGGAACTGAAGTTTAATTATATTTCAAATAATAATGTCACTGCTTACAGCTGCTCCATAACTTTTTTTTCCCTGGGGCTGATTGGGGATTAGGTTTAAGTTGGGCTTGAGCTTTGCACAAAGGTA